TTTGTCCCTCCCGCCTGTTCCGCGCTCCCCTTCCTCTGCCAGATCACCGGCCAAACCCAAAAAAAAAGCACGGAAATGGCCGCTGCCGCTCCCTAGAAGCCTCACGAGGGTCAGGCGCTCTGCCTCAGAGGGATCCCAGAGGGTCCTTCGCCTCTCGATCCATCATGCCAATCAACGTGCCAGGATCATCCCAGCAGCGACCGAGTTAAAAAAAGCCACTGAGTGAAATTCCCAAGTCAGGGGAATCAAATAGCCTAAAGGTCAAAAAAAAATCACACGCCAGTCTCCTTACTTACCAGCGCCGCCTCACCCCTGCAAATACAGAGAGACGTTAACACCGCAGGACCCTCCTTAGGAGGGGCAAAGAGCCAGGCTTTGCAAATTAAGACTGCCCACCTGCCCTGCTCTTGTCCGCACGAGCATGTCCCGCTTTCTGCTTGGGGCAACTGGGAAGCCCGGGTTATTTCTGCGGCTTCTCCCGCCCAGACAAATGCCAGAGCAGCACAAATCTTAGCCCAAAGCAACCTTGTCCCCCCAGGCCCCTGCAAACCTCCGGCAAGAGCAGAGCATTACCTGGTGTCATACTCATCCGAGTGCAGGTCAAACTTGTAGGTGGGTTTGAACTCCAAAGGGCCCTCCAAGAACTCCTGGAGAAAGAATATCTTCTTCTTGGCCATGTTTAGCTGAGAATTGAAACAAAAGCCCTTCAGCTCTGCAGACCAAAAGCAAGGCTGGGCCTTCTCCCAGGAACCACAGAAAGGATCCCAGAAGCCTCCCTTCTCCCCTCCCGAGGTCCCTTTGCCTGGCAAGCAGAAGAGGAAACGGAACTGCCCAATCCGACAAGGAGTAAATTGCGGGAAACCAGATGTGGATCAGCCACACGGTATCGGGGAGCAACGTGAGCCACCGCATCCCCCTCCGAATATCGAGGGGTGCGGAAGTTCCCAGGGAAGAGCGAGAGGGGAGGAGAACCGAGCCCGAGCCAGAGAGCAGGCCGGGGGACGGTACCTGGTCCTTCTCCCACAGGAGGTTGAAACGACTGTTGCTTATCGATTCTCGGATAAAGTGCAGCCCATAGTCTTCAATTCGGAAGTTTAAATCGCCAAACCAGAAGAGAAGCCTGGGAGGAGACAGAAAGGAAACAAAATCCGCAGAATCGGGCGCGCACCCTCTACCTGGTTGGTTTTCTGTCAAGAGCAACCGGCCCCCGGCACTTTCTGTTTTACTTAAACAAGCTGTCGGACCAAGCACCTAGGAAGCCAGCACCTTCCAGACACAGCCAGGTGTGTGGCAGTTACCGAGGCGGCTTTCAGAACCGCAGCAGCAGCAAATGCAATTACCCACTTTGCTCAGGCAGGTGCCCTCCTTTCATCCCACCTTCGGATGGGACAAGGCCTTCGGGGAAGGGAGGGAGCCTCCAACTTTCTCCCTGCAGAAATCTTGTTTCCTGCTTGCGTCTGCGCAACCCCCAGGGAGACCCGCGTGGCCACAAGCGGTCTGCGAACCAGCAGACAAGGCCCTCCCAGTAACACTACGGGCAGTCCTCAAAGCTCCCAAATTGGCTACAACTATTCGGAAACCATTTTAAGTTCTTGAAAGAGTTAGACTTAGGGTTAAAATGAAGGTGAAGAAGTCCTGGGATAAAATAGGGACGTACATTGTATAACGCTAAATGTGAGGCGCGTGCTAGAATCGTTCTATTCAGTTGTTAAATTGCTCCTTTTCTTTTAGGCTCTGCACCTGATGGCCTACCTGAGACCACACGTGTGCTTTTAGGAGAACGAGCTAGCTGGTTCTGAACAATTTCCTTTCCTTTCGAAGGAAAACAAAGCACAGCAAAGGCAAAAGCAGGGGCGTCCATCCCTTCCGGATCTCTTGGAAACATCCAGACGGCCAGTGCCACTCGTTTAGCCGTTCTTTAACGCACGGCCCGTTTCTCTCCTGCTTTTCCTTCCTGTGCCAGCCCCACCCTCTTCTCCACCCCTTGGCCACCTCCGCCTGTTCCCCAGGGCTGGTGCCAGCCATGGGGGAGTGCTGTCCCTGCCACCTCCTCCCCTGTGAGACCAAGGGGGCCCACCGCTTGCTAGAAGAGCAGAGTGGCCGCAGAGGGGGTGGCTGGCCGGACCGCTCTTCCTCTGGGAAGGCCACTCACTGGTGGTCCAGGGCAGAGGGGAACGTCTTCTCTTCAAAGTGCTGCATTTCCAGGATGTGTTCAAAGTCATCCAGGCGCTGCTTGGCATTCTCCTGGTGGGCTGGCAAGTGGCAGTTCAGGAAACAGACGGAGTGTCCGTAGAGAGAGAGGCGAATAGAAACCCCTCCCTTGTTACCCTGCAAGGCAAGAGACCGTGGTTGCCTCCCCCACTCCCAGTATGACAGCTCCCGAGGCTTTGTGGGGCGCGAGAGGGGACACGTTTTTTGTTTCGTTTGCAAGGCTAAAGCGCTGCCTTCAGGACGAACAAACCCGCAAAGGAGTAAATCTGCAAAACACGTTAGAACCGCTAAAGCAATCGCCTTACGGCACTTCTTCGTCCCTTTGTCCGGAGCTGAGAGCGGCCCCTCAGCCAAGAGTCGGCATTCACACATCACGCGCCGTCTCACGCTGTTCACCGGGAGCGTCCAGGGAGCGCTCCGGCAGGAGATGCTCCCCAACATCTGAGGGCCAGAAGGGAGTGAGGCTCTCCCTTGGCTGGCCCGGCAGGGGGAAAGGTTGCCCGGCCCCAGCCTATAAGGCGAATAAGGCCAGCTTCGGCGAATTTCGGAAGCTTTTGCTTTTAGATCCCGCACCTTCGGCGTTTACGTGACTCGCTTTGGTGCCTTAAAGCAGGAAATGTGTATTTTCAACACACGAAACAAAGACGCGGAACTCCCTACCTAAGGATCTCCATCTCTACTGAGATTTTACCGGGGCTTGAAAACTTTCAGCAAGTTCCTTACTGGCACGCTTTCCTTTTGTGGCTCGTAGTCAGCGTTACAAACGAAACACCAGACTGCGGCCACTTTAACGCTCATCGTGGTTTGAGGCACGCCGCTCCGGCTTTCCTGCCCCCGGCGAAAGCAGACCGGAGGCCCACGGGGCCCCCGAAGCAGCTCACCCAGTAGCCGTGCAGGCCGGTGCGGGTAAACTGGCTCCGAACGCCCCGGATGAAGGGCAGGTGCGCCTGCTTCGCGAAGAGGAGGAGGAGGAGGCCCTGCAGGC